TGTAATACTCTCAACAATAAAGATAAATTAAAAAAAAAAAAAAAAGAATGGGGGGAAAAAAAAGTAGCAGATGTAAAAAGAGGGTAACCAAAAAAAGTGGAAGGGTAGGGAAACAAACAAAGAAATTGAGGAGGGATCGCCTAACTCATTTTATGAGGCCAACATTATCCTGATAACAAAACCTGGCAAAGACAGCATACACACACAAAATTACAGGCCTGTTATCTCAGATGAGCATGGATACAAAAGTCTTCAACAAAACACTAGCAAACTGAACACAACAATACATTAAAAGGACCGTGAGGCTCTGCCTCCTGGGAGCATGCCCTTGCCTTTTCCTCCCCCCGCCCTCCAGGCGCAGCACCATTGCCTTCCTCACCCCCAACCTTCAAGGGCCCTTCCTTTACCTCTATAACTGGTTTCCTAAGTCCATTTCTTCTAGGAATTACTTTTTCTACTTCTGTGATTTACCAAATAAGTGCTCTCTTATAGTCTGAAAAATAACTAAATAAAATAAACAAACGAGTAAGGAAATAAAAGGATCACATAGCATGACCAGCGGGACTCACCCAGGGATGGAAGGGATGGTTCCTCACTTGTAAACCAATCGGCAGGATTCACCACAAGGACAGCAAAGGGTGAAATCACATGAGCATCTCAACAGACACAGGAAAGCGTCTGACACGGCACCCACGTATGATAAAACCTCTCCATAAAACAGAGGTGCAGAAGGCAGGTGCCCAACATAATAAAGACCACACATGAGAAGCCCACAGCTAACCTCATACTCCACGGAGAATACTGAAAGCTTTTCCTCTAAGATCAGGAACAAGACAAGGATGCCCACTCTCACCACTGTGATCCAACTAGCACTGGAAGTTGCAGCCACAGCAATCAGGAAAGAGAAAGAAATAAAGGCAACCAAATTGGAAAGAATGAATTAAAACTTGACACTATTTGCAGATGACATAATTTTATATATAAAAGACCTAAAGACTCTATTAAAGAGCTATTAAAACTAATAAACAAATACAGTCAAGTGGCAAATACGAAAACAACATGCAAAAACCAGCTGCACTTCTGAAACTATCAGAAAACATAAATTAAGAAAACAATCCCATTTATAATCACAACAAAAAGAATGAAACACCTAAGAATAAATCTAACCAAGGAGGTGACGGGCCTGTCCAATGAAAACTTAAGACGCTGATAAAAGAAACAGAAGACACCAAGAAATGGAGAAAAATTCTGTGCTCATGGATTGAAAGAATCGACACTGTTAAAATGTCCATATTGCCCAAAGCAATCTATAGATTTAATGCAATCTCTACCAAAATCCCAATGGCATTTTTCACAGAAATAGAACAAATAATCCTAAAGTTTGCATGGAATCACAGAAGACCCCAAATAGCCACAGCAATCCTGAAGAAAGAAAAAGCCAGAGGCTCACATTCCCTGATTTCAAACTATTCTACAAAGCTACAATGATCAAAACAGTGTGGCACTGGTAGGAAAACAGACAGACCAACGGAACAAAATCAAGAGCCCAGAAATCAACCCACACATATATGGGCAACTGATTTATGACAAAGGAGCCAAGAATATACAGTGGACAAAGGACAGTCTCTTCAATAAGGAGTGTTGGGAAAACAGGGCAGCCTCATGAAAAAGAATGAAACTAGGCTGCTCTCTGACACCATCAACAAAGATCTACTCAAAATGGATTAAAGATCTGAATGTAAGACCTGAAACAATGAGATACCTAGAAGAAAACGTAGGTGCCAAGCTTCTAGACATCGGCCTCAGTGTGGTTTTTGTGAATTAAACTCCAATGGCAAAGGAAACAAAAGCAAACAAGTAGGACCACATCAAACTAAAAAGCTTCTGCAAAGAAAAGGGACCATTAACAAAACAAAAAGGCAACCAACTGAATGAGAGAAAATATTTACAAATCATGTAATCTGATAAGGGATTACGATCCAAAAAACTCATACAACACAACAACAAAAAACCCAATTTTAAAATGGGTATTAGTTCTGTATAGATGTTTTTCCAAGAAAGGTATAGAGACGGCCAACAAGCACACAGAAAGATGGTCAACGTTGTGATTAGGAAAATGCAAATCAAAACCACCATGAGACACCACCTGACACCTGCAAGAATGGCTGTCATCAAGAAGAAATAACAGATTTTGGTGAGGATGCGGAGAAGAGGGAACCCTGTGCACTGCCAGTGGGAATGTAAATTGGTGTAGCCACTGTGGAAAAGAGTATGAAATTTCCTCAAAAAAATTAAAAATAGAGCTACCACATGACCCAGCAATCCCTCTTCTGGGTATTTATCCAAAGAACATGAAAACATTAACTGGAAAAGATACATGCACCTATGTCCACTGCAGCGTTATTTGCAGTAGCCAAGACATGGAAGCAGCTCAAGTGCCTGTCGGTGGATGTGTGGACTTTAAAGCAGCTGTGTGCTGGCCCTGGCCGGGTGGCTCAGTTGGTCAGAGCGTCATCCTGAGGCACCGATGTTGCAGGTTCAATCCCTGGTCAGGGCACATTCAAGAATCAACCAATGATGCACACATAGTGGAACAACACATCGAATTCTCTAAAATCAATAAAAAATAAATCAAAAAGAATCTGTGGTGCATATGTACAATGGAGTATCACTCGGCAATAAAAATGAAACCTTGCCATTTCTGATAGCATGGACGGACCTAGAGGCTATCATACTAAGTGACATGAGCCAGAAAGAGAAAGACAAATACCATATGACTTCACTCATACGTGGAATCTAAAAACCCAGTGAACAAAACAAACGAACTCACAGGTACTGAGAACTACACTGACAGTCACCCCAGGAGAGGGGGCCGGTGCAAACTGGGTGAAGGGGTCACACGTGTGGTCACTTAGGAAGGAGACCAGGCTGGGTGGCTAGCTCGCTGTAGAGGTCACAGATGTCAAATTATAACGGTGTACATCTGAATTTATGTTTTAACCACTGTTACCTCAATAAGTTTAATTTTTTAAAAAACGACTATGTGTGTCAAATGAAGACAGACAGAGGCACGTGAAAAATCTCAGCTATCCGACGCCGCTCGAGGCTCCAGTCACCCCGAGAGTCACCTGGAACACAGTGTGAACCGTAGAGGCACAGGTGCCAGTCCTCACCACTCCTGTAGGGAAAGTTCAAGGGTTGCAGAGAATGCATGGCCTAAGGTTTTCTTTTTAAAAATTTCTTCATTCAATTTAAGAGGCAAAACAAGGTTATGGGCCACAATCAACCATCAACACCAACCTGAGAAAGGCCCCGGGGCTGGAAGACCTGATTTCAGGCCCAGGCCTGCAAGGAGGCTCCTTGAGGTGATGAGGCATCCTGGCCACCCCACAGGACAGCCTCGGAAACCATGGGAGTGATCTGACAGATTAATTACCCAGGGAGACAGCCCGCTGCCTCCAGGGCTGGGACTGAGCCTCCAGCAGAACCAGCTGGACCAGAGACTATGCCCACACCTGTGGTCACCCCTCCACGCCATGCCCATCGGCTGGGTTGCCCAATTCCTTCTCCTCTGCTCCTCAAACTGCGGTGGGATATGACATCAGTGAATTAAAATAGAGAGCCTGTTAAGTTCACCCAGTCGGGCGCCGGCAGTCAGACTGCAGTCCATCCACACAATGGGCTACTACTCAGCGATAAAAATGAACCGGCAGGCACTGGAGTGAAGCTTGAAATAATCACGCTGAGGGAATGAAAAATGTCAGATACAACGCTAGGAAATGCAGCCTGCGGTGCCAGAGGTCAGTGGTGGCCGGGGGCGGGGGCGAGACTGACTGTCAAGGCTGAAGAGAAAACCTCTACAGGTGATGGGTATTTTCAGTGCCTTGACTGGTGATTGCTGACATGTGAAAGCTCATCCAATCGAACATTTTATGTGAATGCTTACTAGGTACATGCAGGCATTTGTTTGTAGGAAGACATTAAGATTAGAATAAGGTGGTGAATCTGACTTCTTGCGGAGCTGCACGCCGCGGAGGGCTCCACCCAGGGCGGGAAGTCGGTCTGAACGTGGGCCGTACCCGAGAGGGGCAGGGTCGGCTCCAACCCGTTTCAGCGGGGCCTCCTGGGCCACGACAGCCACCGCCGACCGGGCCCCGGCCAGGCCGCCGGCGGACGGCCTACTGCCCGTGACCCCTGACCGCGTGCGGGAGCTCCGAGTGACCAGGAGCCAGGGCGCAGGGCAGGGCAGGAAAGCGGGCCGGGCGGAGGCGGGCTGGTGGCGAGCCCGAGTGTTCACCACCCTCCCCCAGGCCAGTCCCGAGCGGACCCTGGACCGAGGGACTCGCCGCTTCGAGGCCAGTCACGTTCCTCACAGGCAGTCACCGCAGAACCGCCCAAGGCGAGGCGCGCCGCTTGTTCCGGGAGGGCCCGGTTTGCTAACCCCCGCTGCCAACCACCGCGAATCCTCAGGAACGGCCGGGGCCAGGCAGAACCCTGAGGCTACAGGGGCTGGGCCCGGGGGCGGCTGGAGTCCAGTCAGCGCCCACTCACAGCCGCGGCCGCGCTGACCACCGCCGCGGTCCCCCCACCGCGCTCACTCCGAACATGGCCGGGCCGACGGGAGCCGAGGCGGGGAGCCCCGAGTCCCCGCTGCCCGGCGCCGGGCGCCCGGCCGTTC